ACTGGTAATGCTGTCAGTCAAGGTAGTAGCGGGTGAAGCAGTATGTCTGAGTATACTCTGAATATAGAGGCAAGATCATGTTTCTGGCAGGATGGACACACATGAGGAGAGGTCAGGAGTTAACAGTGATTCCAAGACTTTCGGCCTCTGTCATAGGAAGGATGGAGTTGTCACCGACTTTTGTGGGAACGACTGTATGGATAGAAGCCAACGTAAAAAGTTTCAAGGGAGAGAGTGAGAATCTAAAATGTTGCTGATAATCTATGGAATGATCAAAAACTCACATGTTTTTACAGAAAGGGCACTTTAGTGTGAGTTCTCTCATTTAACGTATCATTTCTGTAAACTGTTTATTCTTGAAATTGGGGTTTTATTTTTCCTATCTTTAAAAATGGAAATAACACCCACCTCGTGTGTTGTAAATATTACTAGATTTCATGTACAGCATGTACATGCCTGATCTCCGAGCTCAGTTCTTACAAATGCTTGTTTTCTCTTTCTGTCCTTCATTAGATCATTTTAAAAGTCTGAATATATAAAGTGGTACACTGAAAAGAAAAGTGACCCGATGCTCAGATTTTACATCTAGGAAAATGCGAAGAGCTATTTAGATGAACCCAAAAAGGGTGTCATGAGACTTCTAGATCCAGAAATGCCAGTCTGAGTCCTAGAGAACAGTCAAGGTCAAAGAGGGAAGGGTAAGAGCTAGAGGCTCACAGATTTTTTTCAGTGAACAATCAGTCTTCTTGAAGTGGAGAGGAAAAGAAAAATGTAACAGAGAAGCAATCTATGTGGCTAAGGTCACAAGAAGCATCTTAGCAGACACGCTAGAAACTGCCTGATATTATCTGAACAAAAGACACCGCGGCATCTAAACAGAATCTCAGGAGAACACAAGAGGGAGAGGGAAGTGTAGGGACTGATACCTGTATGATGGGAAGACCTGCCTCCCAGCACTGCTGGGCAGGGAGGGTTGGAAAGAACCCAACGTTAAGAGCACCTGCTCATAGAAGGCATACGCTGGCAAATCTAATACAGAGCCTGTTTTAGGCCTCGTCCAGAATGGATCCAGGCCATGGCAGGGGGATCCATTTGGGCAGAGTGGGGACAGGAGGCGACACTGAGCATCTCTAGGTTGCATTACATCTGCTGTTTTCTCCCAGATAGATAGTTGTTTGGGGCGTCTAGGTGGCTCCTGGCCTTGCGCTCAGTGGAGATTCTGCTTCAGATTCTTTCTCCCTCCCTCTGTGCCCCTCCCCACTTGCACACACACTCTCTAATAAATAAATAATCTTAAAAAAAAGATATATAGGTGTTTAGATTGGTGTTGCTTATTTTGTTATCTTTACTTCCTGAAAAACCTTAAGGAGAATTTATGTGACATGCCAACTGGTATTTACTAATTCTATTTATTGTTTGGATCTCCCCAGACTTCAAAGTTGCTAAAAGTTGACATAAATAAATAACAAGATTCTAACATAAGAAGGAAGGTGGCCAAATACGGTAGTATATGAGTGTATCAGCCAGTGGCTTGAGTTAAGCCAAAAAAAATCCTGGGTGGAGCTGAAGCGGTCACTCTCAATTTTAAAACAAAAGACATGAAACCTAAGTAGGAACTCATTCCTAAAAAATGGGCATGAAAGCTTGCCGCTGACACATGGCAGCCCAAGTCTGGTTAGCAGTGAAAGTGTGATGTGGACACAGTCAGGAGTCCCTTAAACATGGCTTGTAGTTCAGGAAAGCACTGGGCTTCCTCGGGACGCAGGCCCTGCCCTCGTTGACGCACTCGTCTCTCCTCCCCGATGGGCTAGTCCTCCTGCGCTCTGGGCTCAGGCGTTGCTTCCCGGGTCCCCGTCCGTGAGGGGCTCCTGCTGTTTGCTCCAAGTCACTGTACGTCCTTCATGGTTGTACCGTTGTTTACTCTGCGTCTGTCTTTCCTGAGACACTGTATGGGCAGTTCCTTGGACACACAGTGTCTATGTGCTTACTACTCTACATGCACAACTTCAGAGAAGGGTTGGGAGCCAAGGCTTTACATGCTTTACATGCCGCACTGAATGAAGGTCAGGAATGTCCACGCCGTGAGGCAGGAGGCGTATCAACTTCCTAACCACTGTGTCGCCATGCTTCCCTCAGAGCGCCCTTCAAGTAGCTGCTCCCGGTACCTCGGCTGGATGAGTCAATCAATGCACGAACAGCACCCCCACCCCGGCCGGTCTCCCCTCATCTGCACAGAACCCTGTAACGACACTCCCAGCAGCCTGTTCTCGTTTCCCTCTCCATCATGCCTCCGAACGGTGTGAGCCCCGGCGGCTGCACAGCGGTCTCAATGGACTCAGCATCACAGCTTCACGAGGAAGCCAGAGCCGCCGCTTGTCACACGGTTCCCACAGCAGCTCTGTGCCCTCACCCCCTCCTCCCCGCCCGCCCGCACGGCGACATGGCTGCCCCACACCCCACACCCCACAAGCTGCTCTGGATTCTCACCTGGGACACACAGGAGGCACCTGTGAATCCCAAACACTAGCACTGACCTCAGGAGAGCGCTTATCTCTGGACATTCGTAACAACAAAAAAATTAACACAGGAAAACAAAACAAGTGAAAAAACCATATCCTAAGTGGTGGCAGAAACGATAAACACTGCATATTCCCCGGTTAGAAGGACGGAAGACAAGCTACGGTCAAGCGTAGAAGTTATCCTGAGGGCTAGGAGGCTGTTCTATCACTACAATTAAGGCTAAATGAGTATAAAGCTTTTAAGAAATTACAGTGTCAGGGGAGAATTTTTCAGCTGTGATGATTATTTGATACACTCAGCATAAATAATCATGCCAGAAAATTATAATGCATGTAAAATTGTTTTAAATATTAAATTCAATATCAACATGTTTATTGTTACATGCACGTAATTAAGTGCACTTACACATATATTCCATGCACAGTGTAATAGGCTGCCTTTTCCAGCTAATGCAGTTCCTGCCTTGATAAGAAAGAAAAGCGAACAATACTGACACAAGGGCTGACAACCTACCAGAGCCATGCAATTAGAACACACCAAGAACTTGGAGCACTTCTGAGTCCCCAGGTGACCTAGGGACTGTCCGTCCTTCCTCCCGGCCTGCCGCACGCTCCTGCCCGCGCCCCTTCGCCCCCTCCATCTTCTGGCACTTACTGCTTATGTGCAAGCACAGCCGACAGACTGACAGACAGTCAGAGTCCTTGACTGGTTCTTCTCTACCTGCTGATTTTTTTTTTTTTTAAGATTTTATTTATTTATTTGAGACAGAGAGAATGAGAGAGACAGAGAGCACATGAGAGGGGGGAGGGTCAGAGGGAGAAGCAGGCTCCCCGCCGAGCAGGGAGCCCGATGCGGGACTCGATCCCGGGACTCCAGGATCATGAGCTGAGCTGAAGGCAGTCGCTTAACCGACTGAGCCACCCAGGTGCCCCTAATTTTTTTTTTTAAGATTTTATTTATTCATTTAGATAGAGAGAGAGAGCGCATGAGCAGGGAGAGAGGCAGAGGGAGAAGCAGACTCCTCGCCGAGCAGGGAGCCCGATGCGGGACTCGATCCCGGGACTCCAGGATTATGACCTGAGCCAAAAGCAGTCGCTTAACCAACTGAGCCACCCAGGCGCCCTTTACCTGCTGATTTTAATGTCATCTTCAGATCCAGGAATTCTTTTCTCCAACAATCCTACAACCCAGAGGTTAGTCGTATTAGAAGCCCAACAAACGTTCAGATGAGTCCTGGCGCCTTTAAAGGAGTCTCATTTGTAGCTGGCACAAGGGAGCACGGAGGGAGGGAGAGATGAAGAGCAGGGTAAGGGAAGAGCCCCTGCAGGGAGTGTCTACAGAGCTCAGAACACAGGAAATCAAGTGCACGGGGCTAAAAAGAAGCCTTCACCAGCAGAAGGTCAGTTCTTTCTATTAGCTCAAAGACGAGAGGGCAGGTTCAGAGAAATCTGTAGGTGGGAGAGAAGGGTCGGACTTCTCAAAGGGCCACATTTCACAGCTTGAATCTTCTCTATAAAGTAAAACATAAGGTGCTCGTCTAAGGGAAAGGGAGGTGGTGACAGAATGGTTTTCAGGGAAGTAGTGCGTGGCTGAAACAGCCAAGGTGGAACACAGGGGCAGGGCCAGCCCCTCCCTCACTGGACCCCGTCTGGTGTCGCCAGCAGAGCTCAGCAGCTCATGTATGGACAGAGACTAACCCAATGCAACACTTTCTAGGAAGGAGGCGGCACGAGGGACAGTGAGATAGGATAATGAAGATTCGGAAAGGGAATGGTTGAAGTTATGTGCCATGGATTCCAGGCTGAGTTGGGCAGGAAGAGTCTATAGAGAGTCTAGTTCAAAGGTGTCCAGGGGTTCAAAGGTGGAGCAGTCATGAGCAATGACAAGGCTGAAGCTGCGGACAGGTACGTGCTTCATCTAGAAGGACTCACGATCGCAGAAGTCATGGAAAGGAGGCCCTTTGTGAAGCAGGTGTGACCACGGAGGACGAAGGGAGTGAGACTCCACGAAACCATGCAGGGGACAGGGGACACTGCGTGCACCATTTGCTGTTCCTTTCAGAAAATCACTTGAGATCACTCCTTATTCCATTCAGTTTTCCTGCAAGGTACCTGACTGGTCACTCTGAAGAAACTTGATTTGTTGAAAAAAGAAAAGAGAAAAAAGCAGCTCCCTACGGGGAGGGTAGGACATGCTCTAAAGTGAATTGGTCACGGTTATAAATCTGTGTCAGTTACCAACCACACAACCCACATATATTAAAAGTGTAGATTCTTCTCTACATTCTCAAAAGTTATGAAGAGCCACAGCGAGTAAAAACAAACACAAAAACAAAAGGAGCATTTTAAAAGAATGCCCCGTAAGCACTGCGGACAGCCTGAGAGCGGCATCGTCCCCGGCTGCCGGCAGGACAGCGACCCTGGTGCACACGTCCGCGACGCTGGAGTCACGCGCTCCGTCGCTCGGGGACCGACTCTCACCTGTATCGCAAGGGCCCGAGCCACGACACCTCCAAGGTACTGTAAGGGGTCTTCTGGGCCTTCCCACTTGCTCTGCCATGCCAGAGGACACTGCAATTTAAAAAGGGTCCAAATTAAGTTTACACATATAATATTACACATAATAGACCTTTAACATTAGTGTGATGGGGAAAATACTTCGGGATAATCCACATTATGTGCACCATGGATTTATTTCCTTAAGATAATGTCTGTTTTCCTTTGAATAAAATGAATGACAATAAATAACATAATAAAATGAATGACAGAGATAGAATGAATTAATCTAATCTGTTTCTCTAAAAGGAGTTTCTATAATTTTGCTATTGGTGATAATGTGCTCTAAACATCAGGGTGCATGTGCCCCTTCAAATCAGTATTTCTATATCTTTTGGGTAAATACCTAGTAGTGCACTTGCCGGACAGGAGTAGTTCTAAATGTCCATCGACAGATGAATGGATAAAGAAAATGTGGTTCATATATACAATGGAATATTACTCAGCCATCAGAAAGGATGAAATCTTGCCATTTGCACAACATGGATGGAGCTAGAGGGTATTGTGTTAAGTGAAGTAAGTCAGAGAAAGACAAATACCATATGACTTCACTCATATGTGGAATTTAAGAAACAAACAGATGAACATAGGGGAAGGGGATAAAAACAGAGAGGGAAGCAAACCATAAGAGATGTTTAACTACAGAGAGCAAACTGAGGGTTGATGGAGTGAGGTGGGGGAGGGGATGGGACAGATGCGGGATGGGTATTTTTTTTTTATTATAGCCTTTTTTTAAATTATGTTATGTTAATCACCATACATTACATCATTAGTTTTTGATGTAACGTTCCATGATTCATTGTTTGCTTATAACACCCAGTGCTCCATTCAGTACGTGCCCTCCTTAATACCCATCACCAGGCTAACCCATACCCCCCACCCCCCTCTCCTCTAGAACCCTCAGTTTGTTTCTCAGAGTCCATCGTCTCTCATGGTTTGTCTTGGGGGATGGGTATTAAGGAAGGCACTGTTTGTGATGAGCCCTGGGTTTTGTGTGTAAGGGATGAATCATTAAATTCTACACCTGAAACCAATTTTACCATATATGTTAACTAACTAGAATTTAAATAGAAACTTGAATTTTAAAGTAAAATTCTTGATACAATAAGCAAACATAAGCTGGTATATACAAAGTAGCAAACCACTGTTTGCTTAAAACAATATTTAGTACATAAGGAAATCAAATTAAAATTGACAAGTTCATTTTATAAGTGGTAAAGATTTTTAAAAAAAGTCTTCGTTCCTCCAGAATTTCTTCAAACTCTAAATAGAGAAGTATAATAGAAATTTCATCCCCAAAACCACACTGAACTATATGATTAAAAGAAATTTAAAAAATACTCTAAGTTAAATAAGTAAATAAAACCATTCTAAAAAAGTTATCTTTTGAATACCTGACCTTCTATTAACTGGTATTCTCTATTAATACATACTTCTTTACTTGACAATATTCTTTACGTTCATGTTCATCATCATGGTATACCTTTTCTGTGAGGGTTTGCTGGACTTTCCAAACATTATATAAATATTCAAACTTCTAAAGTGCAATAATGAGAAAACATCAATTTCATACCCCAAAACACTGCCTGATTATATAGTAGAGAAACGACACTGTGGGATATATCAACAATGCATGGAAAACAAAAATTATAAGATAGTGGGAATTCAGAGTGTAAAATATCTGGTTTAATCACTTTAGATGTGTAAAGTAAGCTTTCCTCAGAATATGGCAGAAAAGTGTCTGAACGGTGCTTTGAACTGAGACAGGTGTGGTGATTTTCAAACATGACCCCACATACCAGCCTACACGCCGACACCAGCGACAATGAGTGAGAACACCCTCCACCTGGCTTGCTCGTGACACCATACCTCCCACACGTGCTCTCCGAGGAATATGCTCCAACCAACCTGCCCTCAGCACCATCCGTCTGAAGCATCATCACAAGCCTGGTCGTGGGCCAGCAGCGCTGACAGGGGCAGCAACACTGCTAAGTGACCCCTGCCCCGGGGTGAAGGGAAGATAATCACACACACCAGGTGGACTGCAGCCCCAGCAGTGGGCTGGGGGCAGGCATCTGGTCTAACTGCAGGCCCTGCCCACCAACGAAACCCCAGGGGACAACTGCAGGAAAGGACCCTGCAGTTCCGTGCTACCACAGCTCTGGAAAACATCTGGTCCGACCCGAAAATGGAAAAGACAATTCCAGAATACACATGCACGCTTATGTTCAAGGCATCATTACTTACAACCAAGACATGGAAGGAACCCATGTGCCCATCGACAGATGAATGGTAAGGAATATGCAACACACACACACACACACTCTAGAATATTACTCCATCTTGAAAAAGAAGGAATCTGTTTGGGACAATATGGGTGAACCTAGAGGCTATTATACTAAGTGAAGTAAATCACAGAAAGACAACCGTATGATTTTACCTCTATGTGGAATCTCAAACACAACAAACAGAAGAAAACAGAAACAGACCCATAAATACAGAAAACAAACAGATGATTGCCAGAGGAGAAGAGGGGAAGGAGATTGAAAGGTACAGTCTTACAGTTACAAAATAAGTAAGACATGGGGATGCAATGTACAGAATAAGGAACGTGACTAATATGGTAACAACTCTGGATGTGGACAGGTGGTAGCTACGTTCATCTTGGTGGTCGCTTCGTATTACACATAAATGACGATCACTACATTGTACATATGAAACTAGACTCTGTGTCATGTACAGTTCAGCCGAAGTATCAAGAATGTGTTACATATCATGTTTGGGAGTTTATATAAAAATGATTTAATGAAGGAAGTCTTAGGAAAGGAAGTAGGTGCTACGTTCTGAGAGTTGTGCTGGATTTCGACGAAGGCAGAAAGAACTGGAGGGGGTGTTTTAAGCGAACGCTGGCTGGCTGCTAATTCTGTGTGAGCACCGAGCGCATGAGAGGCACCATCCCATGTGCTCCTCACAATAACCCTCAGTAGCAAGGGCTGCTTTCACTGCCATGTTACACAGGGAGCACATGAAGGCCACACGTGTGGCCCCAGGCAACCTCACTCCAGAGTCTGTCAGCATCGGTACCGGCTGCGAGGCATCTTACCTTCCCATTGTGCTTTACGCATATTACACCATGTGAGGTTCAACGCAAGACAATTATGAATTAGGAATTAAAATTATAATAATGGGGAAACTAAGGCTTAGAACAGGTTAACTTATCAGTGTTTTTAACTAAATGTTATAGAGCTAGAGCCCAAGTCTAACCCTAAACAGAACCTCTTTCTGCTACCCATCCTTTTCATAACAGATGTCATAGCAGGGGAGGGGTCCACTGCTCACTCCTTCCCTCTCTTTCAAGCATCAATTAAGTACATGGTTATTCAGCAAGCTTGTGTTAAACAGCTGCTACTTGGCAATCATTTGTTAGGTGCTCTGGATACAAAATGACAACACAACCCCTGTTCATAACAACTTGTGTGAGAAGGCAGGGAAAGAGACAAAGAAAAGGGATACTGCAGTTGGTACAGTAAGTTCCCTGATAACGACAAGAGCAGTGCTCATTATACACAGAGCTAGCATCCACCAAATCCACACTCCATATGAGGGCAAGAGTCAGGGAACGCTTTCTGGTGGAAAATAACACCCGAGGTAAATCTCAAGGGATAAACAGTCTACACTCCGGGAGAGAAAGACAGTAGGAAAAGGGAGGACAATTAATAAGGGAGACATTAATTAAGTAAGGACCAGACCAGGAAGCTTTTTGGAGTCTATACTAAGGAGTTTGATCAGGTAAGCAATGATAAGACCAAATTAAACTTGAACCGGGCATGTGACACAATCGGATTTGACTGCAGAGACATTACCCCAGTAGACACAGGGAGAAGCGGCATTCGGGGATGGATGCGGTGGCAGGAAGGGAGTCAGGAAGCTGCTGCACTTTGTGAGGCAGGAGCCAGAGAGGACCTCCACGGGAATGAGAGGAGAAGGGTCCCGACAGCAAACACGTCTGCAGTTGGCGGCACGGACGGGGCAGGCACTGTTCCGAGCATGGTACTTCCGTGCACACCTCTACCCTTCAAAACAACCCTCTGAGGGAGGCATAATCATGAACCACGTTACAAACATTTAGAAACCGAGGGAAGGAAAGTTTAAGTGACCTGAACAAGAAAGCACTGTAGTATAATCTTGGATATTTTCATTTCTACTCTATAATTTCAGTGTTTATTATTATGTGAACTTTAAACACAGCGCCACTTTTAGTGACTCATTTTCCTCTTCTATTGAATATTGTAGTTGTTTATCACACTGCCAACCACCACCACTGCACTCAGAAGAGCCATGGGGGATGATAATGGTAATCCACGACGTGCACCTGCTGAAGTTACAAGAGATGTCTGGACAGCTTCATGGGATTCAAGTTTACTGTAGCTCCCGAAAATGGGAGCAGCTGTGTAACCACTATTTATTTCAAACACTAGAAGTTGCAATGAGATGTTATAGTGTAAAAAAGGATTCAGTTTAAATTTTTTTTTTGAAAAAGAGGGTAAAGAAAAAGAAAAAAACGTAGTTCACTCTAATTCCAATTGTGGATGAAGTGCTTGACAATAGGTAGAGTTTACAACTTATCACTAACTCCTACACTAGCCATAATTTACTTTATAATAGGTTCCAATTTAATATTACTAAGACCTTTGCTTAGCTACCAAGATTTTACTTTTCTTATCAATATAGAAAAAGAGTTTGTAGAACAGCACCAGAACTAAGGGCTTTCAGATCCGAGGGATGTATCTAATGGAATTACTCTCTTACATATGAACACCATTGTTAAAAGTTGCTACACTGGGAGCCAGGGAGATGCTGCAGGAGGAGAACTGGAGCTCACCTCCCCCACAGATACACTAAGGCAACAAATACATGTAATGCAACTGATTCTGAAAACGACCTGAGACTGGCAGAGCAGACTGCCACAACTAAACACATAAAGAGGCCACGTCAACGAGGTTATGAAGAACACAGGTGAAGTCAGGAACCAAGCCCCCTACCCACCACCGTGGTGACCCAGAAGCAGGAGGGATATATATCCCAGGCACAGAAGAGTGATGGGATCAAGCCCCTCAAGGAGCATCCCCAGCCCGTGGTACTTGCACCAAGGAGAAATACCCCCACAATGTCTGGCTTGCAAAGTCACTAGTGCCTAAGTACGGGAGAGCCAGAGGGCAACAGGGAACGGGGTCTCCACTCCCGAAGGACCCATACTCTCTGTCTCTTAGCCTGAAACCCAGCGCAGAAGCAGCGGTTTCCAAAGTGCCTGGGGTTTATTTACGGACTAATTTTAGGACATGTGCTGGAGGGGCAGGGATCTGGAGAAGCTTTCCCAAGAAATGGAGTGCAGGTGGGCACCGCTTCTGTCGCCCTCCTTGGGCCCAGCTGGCCACAGGCTTCTCTCCATTTACTGTGCTAGCACTGCTTCTTCACCCAGGTGTTCCATTATGGGCCCACCCCACCCAACTCAGCTGCCCTGGCAGGTGCCACTCCCAAGTGCCTCTTGCCCCACCACACCCAGTGAGTAGCCCTGGCAGGAAGTGGCGCCCCTCCAGTGATTTCTGCCCTGGGGAGGTGAGGAGCCAGCAGGGGCTACAGCTGAGCCTCCCGCTCAGCTGCATGGGAAGTTCCTCCACCCACCAGTGTGACCACAGTTCCTACAGGTATGCCTCAGCCGCTGTGCCCAGGGCAAGACCTGCCCACACGTGTGACAGTCACTGCAGAGAGCTGAGCTGAGGGCCAGCTCCGCCCAGCACAGCCCGTGCAGCAGTTACAGCCCCCCACACAGGAGGGGGCCCGCACCCACACTGGGGACACTGGGGAGCACCTGGTGCTGGTGACCAGTGGGGAATGAGCTAGCAGGCACCACAAGACACCTTCTACATAAGCCCACTACTTTCAAGACCAGGACACATAGCGGACCTATACACTACATAGTCACAAACACAGAGAGCTAAACAAAATAAAGAGACAGAAGAACAGGATCCAAGTGGGGAAAGAACAAGACAAAACCCTAGAAAAAGAGGTACATGAAACAGAGTTAAACAATCTGCCCGACAGAGAGTTCAAAGTAATGGTCATAAAGATACTCACCAGACTGAAGAGAAGAGTGAAAGAACTCAGTGAAAACTTCAACAAAGAAATAGAAAGTATAAAAACGAACCAGTCAGAGCTGAAGAATACAATAACTAAAATGAAAAGCACACTACAGGGATCATCCGCACATTAGGGGATGCAGAATGGATTAGTGATCTGCAGATAGGGCGGTGGAAAGCAACCAGGGTGAACAGCGAATGAATGAATGAATGAATGAATGAATGAATGAATAGATAGATAGATAGATAGATAGATAGAACAACAACAAAAAATAAGGACCAGTTAAGGCTATCTACCACAACATCAAGAGTCATAATATTCACAATGCAGGTGTCTCAAAAGGAGAAGAGAGAAAGGGAAGAAAACGGACTTTGAGAAATAATAGCTGAAAACTTCCCTAACCTGGGAAGGAAACAGACATCCAGGTCCAGGAAGCACAGAGAGCTGCACACAATGAATCCAGAGGTCCACACAAGACACATAATAATTAAAATGCCAAAAATGATGAAGACAGAATTTTGAAAGCAGCATGAGAAAAGCAACTAGTTACATACAAAGGCATTCATACAAGGCTATGATTTGATTTTTTGACAGAAACTTTACAGACTAGAAGGGAGTAGTAAGATACATTCAAAGTGCTGATAGGAAAAACCTGTAGCCAAAAATACTCTAACCGGGAAGATTATCATTCAGAATTAAAGGAGAAATAGAGTTCTACCCTACTTCTATAAACTAGTTTTGTATAGTGTTACCAGTCAACTGCTCCAAAAGCTGCTTTTTACCTAATAAAGTTCTCCTAAAGTAACAATAACAAAAGCAACCATCATTTAGAGGATGCTTGCTTTGTACCAAGCACTTACTTATGATTTAATTTTCATACCAACCCCATAGGGTAGGTTATCTTTATTATCCTCATTTTACAAACGAGAAAAGTAATGTTTAGAGAGGTTTACCTGACCTGCCCGTCACACAGCCACCAAGTGGCAGATAGACCTATTCCACGGGCCACTTTCTTGGCCTTTTGTGACATTATTTCTACACGAAAATATTCTTATTGCCTATGGCATTTAATCCAAACACCTTTTCTTTGGCTTTAGAAACCTCAAAATCTGATCTAAGCTGAATTTTCTACGTGTCAGTGTGTGTGAGTTCCACCAAACTTGCTGTCCTCCTCTACACTCGTGCTCTATCAGTGTGATTCTCCTCCTAGACCTCACTCAACTGTCATTAAATGCAATCCCGTACATTTTGCCCTTAGACAGCATGAAGTTGGATTTTAAAGAAATACACTCTCATGAAAATTTATCTTTTGGTAAATTTAAATCATTTCTATTTATAAAGGCACCAGACCCGCCTAGGTTCCTGACTCTACAAGTTCTCCCTGCGTGACTCTGGTTAAGTGACTGAGCGCTCATCTGCCTCAGGCCCCTCCCAGTAGAATAAAGGTGTCAGGAGCACCACCTTGCACGTGGTGCTCACATGAGCTAACTAATGTAAGCTCTTCAGAGCTCTCACAATCCTTTCTCAGTGTTTCCTTGAAATGCTCAAGGAGCTTTCATGACAGATAATGTATCACTTGAAATTAAAAAGAAGTTAGATACAGCTTATAGAACAATATACTACTACTATGGTATTTTGAATATCATCGTTGATTCAAACAGTCATCTATATACAGAGAAAAACCATTTAAATGCAGTACACAATGCAAAGCTGAGATTTCCTTTCCAAGGTAAAGAGAAAAAGGAACATAAGGTTGGCAGAGTATGCCTTTTTGTCTATGCAGAAAAGGAATGGATATTGCAGTGGACTGAAAGTTTGTGTCCTCCCCCAAATCCATATGTTGAAACCTTAACCCCCTAGGTGATGATATGTGGAGATGAGGCTTTGGGGAGGTAGTAAGTCATAAGGGTGGAGCAAACATGATGGGATTAATGCCCTCCTAAGAAGGGACAGGAGAGAGGCTGATTCCTCTCTCTTTCCTCTGTGCTACGTGAGAACACAGCAAAAAGATGGCCATGAGCAAAGGAGGAAGCAGGCCTCATCAGACACCAGATCTACCAGCAATTTGATCTTGAGAACTATGAGAAATAAATGTTTATTGTTTAAGCCACCCAATGTGTCGGAATTTGTTATAGCAGCCTGAACTAAGACAGAAATCTTTTTATGTAAGATACAGGAACTTCCAGGAAGATGATCTTTTATGTAGAAGACTTTAAGTTGACCATCAGAGTTTTCTATATTGAGGGTAAACAGTGCTGGAGGGAGGGGGAAAACAAAACTTTTTTCTTTCTAAATTCCTATGGAACCCTAGTGAAATCTTTTCCAGATGCCAAGTTCTGTAAGGTGTATATTTTCCAAAAAACTAAAGTAAATATATGTCAGATACTCCAATTTTTTTGTTTCTAGCCAATAGATCTATAATACATGGATTTTACTGATATTTAAAATGGTTTAATTGGGCATCTGGGTGGCTCAGTCAGTGAAGCGTCTGCCTTCAGCTCAGGTCACGATCTCAGGGTCCCGGGATCGATTCCCACATCCATGTTGGGCTCCCTGCTCAGCGGGGAGTCTGCTTCTCTCTCCTCCTCTCCCCCTCCCCACCGCTCATGCTCTCTCTCAAATAAATAAAATCTTAAAAAAAAAAATAAAATGGGTCAATTATTCAGCAAGAGAAGTGGATTTCCCTTTCTTCTGCTAAAAGTACCTTGATTCTCCACTGGGTAACCATCCTTCCCTTACTTGGAGTATACCACATTACAGATGGAGCTGAATCCATCCTAGCTGCTGGTATACATATTTGGCTGAAGCTCTAGCCAATGAGAACTTTGCAAATCCTGAACAGAGAATTTTAAAGGGGCTAGGCATCAAACACAATCCAATCAGTTTGGATTAAAGCTAATCCCAAGATTTTTGCCTGAGTTACCAGGAGAAAGGTGTTCTTTCTGTTGCTCAGCATGCTAGGATACCATCATGTATAGATGACCTGCCCCAAAGTGACATCAACAGGGAGGCTGCATGTACATACACATACAAATAAGCATATATATATACGCACTCACACACAACATGACTAGACAGGTAGACAAATAACACAAGCTAAGATCCTAATGACAATCTGCAGCTCCTGCATCAAGTGACTTAACGCCGGCTACCCCTGGATCCTTCCATTATATCAGCCAGTTAATTCCTATCTGGCTACGGTAGTTTAACTTGGGTTTTCTGCTACTGTTAACTGTAAGACTTGACAAATGTATACATAATGAAAGAGTCATTTATAATAATGAAATAAAAACACATATATTTAATTTTGGCTTACCTTTTGGTTTAATAAAGCACTTGCCAATTTCTGTACTTCTGAACTCAGTAACGTAGTTCCTCTGATGACTTTGCTGAGAGCGGCAAGAGATTGATGAATACTTTGGACTAAGCGAATGGCATTAAATTGTTCCAGAATGATGAATGACAATATTGGAGATCCTTGTCGATCACTAGGAGGAGACACCTTCTGATGAATCAGGTTTGAATTCTAGAAGAATAATATGTCAGGTCATACTTAACTGAAAAGCAGCACAAATCACTGACACTAAACACTTCAAAACTTACTAAAATTCCTTGTTGTCCCACTCCGTTTTGAAATACTGTTGTTTTACAGTGGCCAAGTTTATTAAATCTGTGAATACACAGGAAGGGAATTCTGGAGTTCATCACCATTTGAAGTGGTATGGGTGTGGGAACAGAGAATGGGGGAGCCACCCTGAGACGCAGCAGTCAATACAGTAGGAAAGATGGGAAGAAAGGCTCTATAAGCCAATGCAAAGACAGAACAGCTACACTGAGAATAAGAGAAGAAATTATGGATTTGAAGTAAAAGGTGGTTATTTAACTCAATTTGAAAATTCCCTGTATGTATATTACAGAACCACACTATACATCTTGTACTCAAGATCAGTGAGTATTACATCTTCATGTTTATTTCTCCATCTATACTTTAACAGAGATTCTGACACATGGATTTCTAGGATTTCTCAAATTAGTAGGAAAAACTCAAGGAACAGGAGTTGTAGCTAAAGAGCTTATATGGTTAAGAAGAAAAAAAATTACCTTCAATAATATTCTAAAAGTGCTAAAATACAATCAAGAGATAAATGTGGGAAGTCCTTTTCTCTTACCTACTATACGTTATCCTAACTTTCTTTATATATTCTGCTTACAAGCCTGGTTAAGGATCCCTTCTCTTTGCTCTAATGGTTGTCACATTCATATATCCATGAGAGCACGGTCTTTTTCATCTATTGAGCATGATAAATAATTTAACGACATGATGATCTAGCATGGCTATTGCCATTAAATAAATTTTATTAGCTTAAGATTATTCCTGAAGACTGATTTGCGTTAAGACCTCAAATTTAGACATGTTTACTTCTATTATCGCTATATAGGCGTACCTCAGAGATATTGTGGGTTCGGTTCCTCACAACCACAATAAAGCAAATATTACAATAAACCAAGTCAAATGAATTTTTTGGTTCCCAGTGCCTATAAAGTTATGTTTATGCTATACCGTAGTCTCTTAATTGTGCAATAGCATTATCTCAAAAAAAAATCAAAACAATTTATACACCTTAATTAAAAAATACTTTATTGTTAAATTTGCTAACATCATCTGAGCTTGCAGTGAATCATCACCTCTCTGCTGGTGGAGGGTCTTGCCTCAGTGCTGAGGGATGCTGACTGATTGGGGTGGTGGCAGCCAAAGGCTGGGGCGGCCGCGGCAAGAAGACAAGACAACAATGCAGTTTGCTGCGCGGATCCACTCTTCCTGTCAGGGACGAGTTCTCTGCAGCACAGGAGGCTGTTTGCTAGCATTTTACCCAGAGCAGAACTTCTTTCCAAACTGGAGTCCATCCTCTCAAACCCTCTGCTGCTTTATCACCAAAGTTGACGTAACATTCTGAGTCCTTTGCTGTCACTTCAACAATCTTCACAGCACCTTCGCCAGTAGATTCCATCCCAAGAAACCACTGTCTTTGCTCATCCACCAAAAGCAACTCTTCATCCGTTCAGGTTTGATCACGAGATTGCAGCAGATCAGCCCCATCTTCAGGCGCCACTTCTGATCCCAGTTCTCTTGCTGTTTCCACCCCATTGGCAGTGACTTCCTCCCCTAACGCGCTGAACCCCTTCAAAATCACCCATGAGGTTTGGAATCACCAGCGTCCCAAATTCCTGTCCACGTTGATACTGTGATTTATATTTGGTATCTCATGAATCACAATGTTCTTAATGGCCTCTACAATGGTGAGTCCCTTCCACGTACTCTGCCCAGATCCACGAGAGGAACCACTCCTTCGGCAGCTACAGCCATACAGAATGTATTTCTTACGTAGTAAGACGTGAAGGTCAAAACGACTCCTGGATCCATGGGCTGTGGGCATGAGAACAAGATGCATCTCACTGTCCGTCTCCATCGGAGCTCTGGGGTGACCAGATGCACTGTCCATGAGCAGCAATATTTTGAATGAAATCTTTTTATTCTGAGCAGGTGGTCTCAGCAGTGGACTTAAAATACTCAGTAAACCATGGTGTCGACAGCTGTGCCCTCACCCAGGCTTTGCTGTTCCCTTTCTAAAGCGGAGGCAGAGTGGACGGAGCATAATGTGTATAAAGGCCCGAAGAATTTTCGGAGCGGTCAGTGACAGTGGCTGCAGCTGACAGTCACCAGCTGCATTAGCCGCTATCGAGAGAGTCAGCCTGTCCTTTGAAGCCAGGCACTGACTTGTCCTCTCCAGCTATGGGAGCGCTGGACGGCACCTTCTTCCCACAGAAGGTTGTGCTGTGTTGAAAATGTGCCGTGATCTCAGTGGGATCTTCTGGATCACTTGCTTCGCCCACATGTCTATGGTTCCTTAAACCTCACAAACCAACTTCCCCCAGCTCCTGGCCTTTCTTCTGCAGCTTCCCACACCTCCCTCAGCCTCCACAGAACTGAAGAGAGTCCGGGCCTTGCTTGGGATTAGGTGTGGGTTTATAGGAATGTGGTCTGACCTTCTATCCAGACTGAAACTTTCTTCCTGTCGGCAATAAGGCTGCTTGGCTTTCTCATTTCTGTGCTCACTGGAGTAGCACTCATTTCCTTCGAGAACTTCCCTTCACATTTACAATGTGACTGTTTGGCACAAGAGCACTAGCGCTCTGCCTATCTCAGCTCCGTCATCCTCACTCCGGGGGCTCCGTCATCCTCACTCCGGGGGCTCCGTCATCCTCACTCCGGGGGCTCCGTCATCCTCACGCCGGGGGCTCTGTCTTCCTCACTCCGTCATCCTCACTCCGGGGGCTCCGTCATCCTCACGCCGGGGGCTCCGTCTTCCTCACTCCGTCATCCTCACTCCGGGGGCTCCGTCATCCTCACGCCGGGGGCTCCGTCATCCTCACGCCGGGGGCTCCGTCTTCGTCACGCCGGGGGCTCCGTCATCCTCACGCCGGGGGCTCCGTCATCCTCACGCCGGGGGCTCCGTCTTCGTCACGCCGGGGGCTCCGTCATCCTCACGCCGGGGGCTCCGTCATCCTCACGCCGGGGGCTCCGTCATCCTCACGCCGGGGGATCCGTCTTCCTCACGCCGGGGGCTCCGTCATCCTCACTCCGGGGGCTCCGTCTTCCTCACTCCGGGGGCTCCGTCTTCCTCACTCCGGGGGCTCCGTCATCCTCACTCCGGGGGCTCCGTCATCCTCACTCCGGGGGCTCCGTCATCCTCACTCCGGAGGCTCCGTCTTCTTCACTCTGGAGGCTCCGTCTTCTTCACTCTGGTGGGTCCATCATCTCTAGCCTTTGACTTCAAGGGACAGACATGCGACTCTTGTTTCCCGTGAACACTCAGAGGCCGCAGCGGGGTCACCGACTGGCCTGCTGTCACTATGGAGGGAAGGGCGGGCAACGGGGGGATGGCCAGTCAGTGGGGCAGTCACAGCACACAGAGCATTCATTAAGCTCGCCGCCTGACATGTGCATGGCTCACGGCGTCCTGAAACATCAAAGATCACGGACCACAGACCACTGTAACAAGTATAGTGATGAAACCGTCGGGAATATTATGAGAGCTGCCAAAATGTGACAGAGAGACACAATGTGAGCAAATGCTGTCGGAAACCTTCAGTTTGTACAAAACACCGTCTCTGAGGAGCCCCATGACATAGAACACATTAGAATTCATGTGCCAGTGTCAGGTATCACAGGGGTTCCTGACTCGTGTGGCCGCTCGAAGGGACAGTACAGCACGCAACCCCTGCGACCAGCTGTGGTGGGACCGCCCCCGCCACCACGCTTGGTCCTCGGCTCCGTCCTGGTGCCCGCACACTGAGGACGCCGCCACATTCAACCTACACGGTGGCCCGTGTGCCAGGCACCATCCTCATCTGCGTCCCACGGATGAAACACAGGGACGTCCAGGGAGGGCATCCACCTGGGGAGACAGGAAACCTGCCCAAGTAAAGACGTGAACTCAGGGCTCTGACGTGACAGCTTCTGCCGTCAGACCCTACAGTGTGCTCCTTCCCAAACATATCAGTGCATTCCCCGAAACGGAGGAGAGCGTTTCCTATGTTTAATTTGCAAAGTGGAGATAGTGACTTTATCCCTTTAATACACAAGTTTAAATCATTAAGTACTGATCATCTATAATCACATAATATCAAATATTTGTTATATATAAATCATTAAGTATTTAGTATTTCACTAAAAACAGTAGACTTCAGAAACGAAGTTCAGGAAACTTCTCACTAATGCGCACTGACAGCTGTTTTCACACCACATTTCTACCCAAGGAGCCAAATGAAGTGCATGTGAGAAAGAATTACCACACAATTAACTTTTATAAGCACACAGAGTAATAGGTCAAACAGAAAAGAAAAAAATGCTTTCTATGTTCACGTGTAGTTTTCATTTAACACCTGGGTAGATATAATGTTATACGGAAAGAGAGGTTCAAAATAAGATGTTTCCTTTATATAAAAAGAAAGCTACTGATCAAAGGCAAAGCAGATGAGGCAAGATGACCTTTAAGTAGCACTGTGCCATAGTCGAATCCTTAGCAGTAGGAAAAGACGACTGAAAAGAAACAAATCTTCAACCCTACATGAGAATTAAATAATGCAATACAGATCCAGGGGCGAATGGGTGGGTCAGTCGGTTGAGCGCCTGACTCTTGGTCTCAGCTCAGGTGGTGATCTGAGGGTTGTGGGTTCAAGCCCTGCGCTGGGCTTCACGCTGAGTGTGGAGCCTATTTTAAAACCCAAACCAAACAAACAAACCAGACCCGGGCTTTATACACACAAAACAAGAATTTTTAGTCAAATGGACCTTGGGAGAAATTCAGTGACTTGATACTTAATGCAGGTTTCTAAGTCATTGTGCTAAGCTGGTAAGCCAACTGCTGAACAATCATGAAAAGCACAGAAAACAAGAGTGACAGATTTTGAGTCATTAGGTCACACAGGCTACTAAAAGTTTGATTCGAACGTGTTTGGGCTAGCGTCAGAATGGAGTAAGGTCCCACGTCCAATGGGAAATCTGGGCTTCCCACGTTTTTATTAAGAGAAGACCACAGGGAAAGATCAAAACAAATTTAGAATGCCTTTGAGTTCAATTTATATTCTGACTGAATGTGTTATAAGTATGATTTCTTCGATATGAACAATATAAAATGAAGTAAAATACAAGTAACAAAGGTTATTTACATAAGATCATTTAAAATGTGTGATCAGAATCACCAGGAGGGTTTGTTAAACACACACTGCCGGGCCCCACCCTCAGGCTTTCAGAAAACGACGCAGAGGCCTGTGGCCCAGGGAACACACTTTGAGAACCGCCGATGTACAGTAACTAAGAACTACCTCTGGGCGCGTCTGGCTTACACACAGCCAGGAACTCGTCGTTAGTGCCGTGGGCAGCGCGCAGACCAAACTCTGAAGCGCCGCATGTCTGGGAACAGCACACAACGAGGTCTGCCGCGGCAGGATGTGAGCGGCCCTATCGATCAGGATAAGCACGTCCTACTAGTAAGAGGGGCGCTTTTTCTTCTGTAAACAAACACACACAAAAACAACCCTGAATGGCTCAAACAACTACTGAGGAGAAGCAGACCACAATTAGTTTTTCTGTCCGCCAACGACTCCATGGAAAGAAGAGTAGGGCCCTGGCGGCAAGACGGGGTTATTACTAGTCACTGAGCTTCAACCCTTGACTTTCTCAGTTCAACTGAAGAACCCGTGTCCTACGGTACGATGTGGGTACGCGTGTTTCCTTCTAGGCTGGCCTGTGAAATGCCTGGACACGGAGTTTTTAGCTTGTGCAGACTGTGCATTTTTCTATTTTACTGTCTAGCAGAGTGCCTGCAACTCAGAAAGACGGGAATCAATGTTGGCTGAAACTAATGAACAAGAAATTCAATTAAAATCCTTTATTTAGCTTGTGAAATAAAATGTGCTGTATTTTTCTTTTCATGTAAGTTCAGCCTCTCCATTATCTGGCACGACTTAAACGGAAGGCACAGGGATACCGCAAACTCTTTTCTTCAGTAACTACGTATTGAGGTCCTACTGTATCCGGGCAGGATTCTAGGTTCTGAGATGCACAGCAAGCAACAGTCCCTGCTGATGGCACTCAAGTTCTAACCAGGAACAAAACAGGGCTGGCCAGCAAGTGCACTGAGCAGAAGAAAGAGAGCAACACGAGCACAAACAAAGCTGGAAACGGTCTTCTACAAGCGTGGACCAAGAGGGGTTGCACAGAGGAAGTGAGCTTCAGGGCGCAAGCAGAGGCCTGTGATGATCTGGGCATGAGCGTCCCAGGCAGGGACACAGTGAAGGGGACAGTGTGCAGGGGGCGGAGGGGCATGGTTATGGCCAAGACTCAACCAAAAGCCTTCACCTTTCACAACCAGTGGAGGGCCAAAGGGATAACATGGAAAGGGGATTACCAATCCGCAAGGGCGGTAACAATTCTCTAGGCTCAGGGGCAACGGGTAGTAAACATTTTGTGCTAAGTCATGTTCACACACAGGGAACACAGGCACCCAGACAAGGCAAAGATGTGGGAATTTTTCAAGGCTCACCACCACATCCAAGTCTTTTGGGAAAGAAAAGGAGAAAAGGGAAGAAAAAATAAGCCTTGTATCAAGAAGGTGGACAGAGGTCAGCATCTTAATGACATGTAAAGAGGGTGAGGAATTTTCTTTAAAGTAACTTCTACACCCAATGGGGGGGGGGCGTGAACTCACAACCCCGAGATCCGCAGTCGCACGCTCTACCCACTGAGCCGGCCAGGTGCCCTGAGGGTGAGAAATTTGCATCAGGATAAGAGGAAGAAGAGTGGTAGGCTACCATTAAAGTAATTCATAAATGAAAGTTACTCACCCTTGGGGAAAATAAAATGTTTCAGCAGGATTTACTACTACTCGTGCAATAATAACTTGGCTACCACAGCAGAGCAACGTCCGGCAATACTTCAAAAACAAAATATGCCGTGTGGTAAACATGGAAGGTGACTTGACATCAACGTCCTGCTCACCTGTGGTGTCTTATCAAACAGGAAAATCTTGATAAACTACCCCACGAGTTAGACGAGCAACCCCTCCGTCTCACCGGCCCACGATTCAGGAATAACGCCGTCACCCAGGACACTGAAAATTCGGTGAACACACGCGATGCGTGGTGCGAAGCACAGAACTAGCAAAAAGTCATTTTCTGACAATGCAGGAGGGGTAGCCAGACCTGAGAGGATCTAATACTGACCAAGCTGAGAGTTTCGGAATCGTGTCTCCTGTACCTACGAGGGACCGCCAAGTGTTCTTACTACAGGCGAGGTATTCTGAGTTCCCTGTGAGCACCTACTAAGTCATCCAACAGACCCACGGCACGGGGACTCTCGCTCCCAGGCACGGAAAACTAGCCCAAGCTAGTTCGCAGCACACCGGGGACTCCAGCTCTCCAGAACTCACCGACTACAACACAACCAACACTCACCTTCATCTTTCAGGAATCCCCACAGCCCCAGTCCTGTCCGTGCAGGGGACTCCCACACCTTCAATGCTTCTCACGAGGTCAACTCGGGTCTCTCTCCTCCACCAACTAGACAGACACCTCACGAAATACGTCCCCATATTCCGAGTGGATTTTACTTTAAAACAACAATTGCATCTGCTCCTCAAACAGAACTGTAATGCAGACTTTCCCATTTCCCAGACTCAATTTCAGCAGCGGCCTGCAAACTGGTCTTCATTGCCCACGACATTCAACACGGCCACGTCATCCTGCCTCGCCTCCTGAGGCAAGGGCTCTCCGACTCAGGCCTCTGAGCCCACATGGAAAGTGCTCAAATCCTTGCGGGGTTGCTGATGGCCCTCGACAGGCAGGCAGTACAGGGCACTGCCTCCTCGGTCCTGAGCACGGCAGCCCGCCTCAGTCACAGCCCTCGGCACCCAGCCCGCCCCTCTCTCCTCTCTGCAGGCCCCCGCATCCCTCCCTCGGCACCCAGCCCGCCCCTCGCCTCTCTGCAGGCCACTTCCCCAGGAGGGCTTTGCCTGCGGACTGCTGCCCCTCCCACTGCATTAGGTCCTTGCTCGCTCTAAGAGGATCCAGCACGCTGGGCTGGTTATGTAGCGATCCACTCTGTGTCAGTCCTCCCGGCTACAGGCCTCAGTCTGTCTGTCCAGTCCCACGCAGTGCCACACATTTTCACCCCAACATACAGTCCCATTGCACCCACCTACAGCCTGTCTCCTCCTAGCCTCCACTGTTTTTTAAATTTATTTTTATTATTTTTTATTTATTTTTTTAAAGATTTCATTTATTTGACACAGAGAGAGACCACATGCAGGGGGAGTGGCAGGAGAGGAAGAGGCAAATGCCCCGCTGAGCAGGGAGCCGGACGTGGGACTCGATCCCAGGACCCCAGGGTCAAGATCTGAGCCCAAGGCAGATGCTTCACCGACTGAGCCACCCAGGCGCCTCCCCACTTTTAAAGGTT